GGCCCGCCCTTTTCCCTGCACACCTGGGTCCGCGGCGATCATGGCACCCACCGCCTCGTAAAACATGTGGATCTGGTGCGTCTCCAGGTCCTGGATGGTGGCGGTCAGCCCCGTGAGCAGCTCGGAGATGAAGGGCTCTGTCTCGCCCACCTGCTGCACCACAAACTTCTTCTTGCACTTGGACACGATCTTGAGGAAGGTCTCGCAGGCCATGTCCTGGACACCCGGGTGCGTCTCGTGCATGAACTCGAACAGCTTGTTCACCACCGTCTTCAGGAACTTCCAGTGGTTGCGCAGGAAGCGAGGATACTGGCCCACCACATACCTGGGGCGACAGGGGGGGAAGGGCGCACGAGTGTTGGTGCTCGATCAGAGGGGCAGCAGGTGTGTGCGGCTGGGGACGTGTTTGCAAGCCTGCGCAGCGCGAGAGCATGGCCGAGGGACCGATGAACTTGCCGCCCCCCCCCCAACAACCTGGTCACCAGCACCACGCACATGATGTTGCTGGCGATGACGGCCTTGTTGTCCTTCCCCCTCGTGATCTCGGTGAGGTTGAGTAGGTCCCGGATGACGGTGACCAAGAACCTGTGAGGGGATCAGAGGCCATGGAGCGGTGAGGTCGGCGTGACTGGACATGCCGGGACAACGAGGGCAGTGAGCTGCACAGTAACCCTGGCCCCGGAGCAGCAGTCACGCCCCCGCCCCCTCACGCCTCCCACCTTTCCATCCCTGGCAGCCCAGGCGCGCTGCCACCCACCCGCCCACCCTCGCACCTGTTCTCCTGGTCCTCCACCATGCTGCCGGAGATGCTGCCAATGGCCCAGCACAGCCGGTTGAGGGCCGACCAGCCCCAGTTGGCGCCGTTGATTTGCTGAGATGGGGAGTGGGGTTCAGGGGTGGGGCAAAGCATGGTGAACGGTTGCAGGCGTTGCCCTGAGGGGTGTAGCACAAAACCCCACATCTTGCAGCCCATCTGCTGATGTGAGCCAGCCTGTATGGCAAAAGTAAACACCCATCCCCCCCCAACCCCTCCACCAACCGACCTGGAGCCTCAGGTTCTCCAGCATCTGGCGCTCGGTGTCCTCGTGGTCCAGGTGCGAGAGGTAGACCAGCGTCTCGTGCATGGTCTTGTACCGCGCCAGCACGTCCGTGTCCTTCATCGTCTCGCGCACGATGTTCCCATTCTCGTCCTCCACCACGATGACCTCCTCCGGCTTGGCCATGCGCGCGATCATCAGCGCTCGCAACTTGGACAGCAGCGGGCCGTAAAGCTTGCGCCGCATGGCGGCGGCCGAGATGGGCATCCCCCCAAACGCAAACTGCGAGCCGTTTTGTAGGGTGGGTGGGTGGGCGGGTGGGGACTTGTTGCAGCGTGGGGTATCGTCGCGAGGAGGGGCTTCCCGGAGGGCGCAGGTGGAGAAGGTCTGCGCCGGATGCAGGGAAAAGGGTGCGAGCAGGCAGACTGCCAGGCCCCATCTGGCAGCCCTCGATCCCCCACTCCCCTCATCAAACCTGGGCGGTCTCGTTCCCAGCGGTGGTGCAGACAAAGGAGTAGACCTCCGGCACAAAGTAGTTCCAGTAGTCCAGGCACGTCTTGAACACCTCGTCGTCGTCCACGTAGGAGATGCCCACCAGGTAGTCCAGCGCCGCCAGCAGGTCGGCCTGCAGCTCCTCGCTCCCCTCCAGGGCCATGATGTGGGTCTGGGGCGCGTGAGGGGGGGAGGGGTGTGTGAGCGTTCATGGTTGAGGCCTCAGGCGTCGGGGGTGGGGGCCAGGCAGGGCCCGGGCGGGGCATCCTGCAACAACTCCATGCACCTTGAGGAAGGAGGTGAAGAACATGGCCAGGTTCTGGACAAAGGCCTGGTCATCGTCGCCGCCGCTGCGTGGGGGGTGGAGAGGGATGAGGCATGCAGGTGCATCGGAGCGGCACGTACTGCGCAGCAGCGCGCTTCTGCAGGTGCTGGCGCTTTCCTCTGGACAGCCACACACCCGCCCCACTCCCGTCTTGACGGCCCAGACGCCCATTTGCTGTGGACCCGCCACTGGGCCCCCAAGCCCAGCGCCATTGCTTCACGACAAATCCACATGCGCACGCGACGCCCTCTCCTGTTCCCACTGTCCAACCTCCTATTCTCCCCTGCCCTTCCTCCCGGCATGCGCCGCCACTGACCTGGCATAGGCAGCCGCGATGTCCACCTGCGGCGGCAGCATGGGCGCCAGTAGCAGGCAGAACTGGTGGAACATGGCCTGGAACCGCGGCGTGTACTCCGGCCCCACTGACAGCGCGCCAACCTGTGCAGTCAGGTGCGGGAGTGAGTTGTGGATTAGGGGAAAGGGAGGGGTTCCCATGGCATGTCTATGGCTGTGCAGCAAACAATCTGTGCGGGCATGGGGTCCTGGAGGGCAGGCCTGAGCTAGCCCCCGCAGCCAAACTCAAGCTGGACACGCTCGCGCCAAGATAAACTACCGAACTCTCATGTTCCCCCTAGCCCCTCCTTCTCTCCACACCCTCCCGAGCACATCAACCACAAACAGCCTCGGACCTCCGTCAGGCACTGCAGCGCGAGGTTCCGCAGCGCAGGCTGGGGGAGGAGGCGGAGCAGGACGTCCACCACGTTGCTCTCGAAGATGTAGCCCAGCGGCACCCAGGACAGGAAGGCATGCAGCGTGGCCAGCGTGGCGCGGACCAGGTCCCGCGCCGCGTTGCCGTTGAGCACGGCCAGGCAGAGCTCGTGCACCTGCGCAAACTGGTCGTTGAAGCTGGACTTGAGCTCGCGCGTCTTGGCCGCGGTGAGGGAGTCGGAGAAGTCAAACACCTCCTCCGACAGCAGGCGCAGGATGGCCATGGAGTTCTCGCACAGGCCAGCATTTGTGTGGGACGCGCCCACGATGTCGGGGATGAAGGTGGGCCACTTGTGGGGCCAGTCCTGCGCTTGGTGTGTTGTTTGCGGGGAAGCATTGAAGGAGTGTGGCGAGTGGAGAGCTTGGCATGAGCGCCCGATAGCCGGGGAGGCATCGGTGGCGTTTTCATGTCAACCAATGGGGGCAGGTGGGGGTGGGCAGCCGGATGCGAGGACCCTGGGCAACACATATCACGGACGGCCGTAGGGGCGCCCATCATCGCCGCACCTGCTTGAGGATGTCCACCAGCACCAGGTTGAGCTTGTTCAGGAAGACGCGCTCGCGCCGGAAGGCGACCTGCACGGTGTGTGGTTGGTTGGGTGGGTGGGTGGATGGGGGTGTATCTAGGTGGGTCTGTGGTTTGGCAACCGAAGGTCGGGACGAACAGCGATGTAGCACAATTTACAGTCACCACCCTCTCAACAACACCCACCTCGTCTGTGGACAGCTTGATTATGAGGTTGCTGATGTAGGTCTTGAGAACCTCGCGCTGCTCGTCGGGCAGCGCCCCCCACCGCGTCTTGATCACTGACTCCAGCACCTGTGTCGGGCAGGCAAAGGAAATGAGGGATGCGGTGGGTGGCTGCATGTCCTGAGTGCAGGCCATGCAAGCCGCATCCACGCCCGTGCATTCCGCTGCAGGTCACCTGGAGCCCAAAGAATTTCGACTGCTGGTTCTTCGATGTCTCCAGAATGGCATCCACCCGTGTCCAGGCGTCGGGCTGCTCCTGGAACTTGCGCAGGATGGCTTCCGCACTTCCGCGCTGCGAGGGGTGGGAGGGATTTTGGAGTTGCTCCCCAGACATCTAGACGGGAACCAAAGCAGGTCCAACGTTCACACCCACCCCACCTCATCATTGGTGGAGGCGCCGTAGAAGGCAGCAACAGTGGCATCGAGCAGTGCAACATCGAGCGGCTCTGCGAAGTTTAAAAGCTTGGCAGCGGCCGCTTCCAGGCCCGATGCCATCGCTGATGATCGGAGGATGTGGACTCTGTCCCAGGCGAGATTGCAGCAATCTAATACGAGGACAGAGGTGTCATGGCACAGATCACTTGTCCGCCTCCAGCTGGTTGACGCCGCCTCCTCAGCTCCCGAGGAAGTCAAGCTAATACTCTATCGACTGACAGTGGCCCCCTCGACGTAAGGCCGCTGCCATGCCGGAGCTGGCCGATGGGGCAATGCGACCATGCTTTCTCGGGGGCACTCCTGGGCCTTCAAATCCTGCGGGCCACGACGAGGTCCGACTGAAAGGGGGGCCGAACTGCAGCTGCTCATTCGCTCTTGTCTGTAATACCGTGTTACAGCATTCTAACCGTTCCTGGGAGTGTTCCTGAGAGGCTCGGATCCCGGGCAGCGGTGCATGTGTCGTCTTGACGACTCCCGACACTGACTGCATGAGCGCCCTCGAGTCCCGCACAGTCGCCATGGCCTCGCACATGGTGCCGGCCGTCGGGGAGTTCCTGCCCCGGGATGCGCTGGCATGGGTGGAGGAGATCATCAGCACCGCCTGGACCACCTTCAAGCCCGGGGGCAGGCTGCACCCACAGACCTTCATCGAGAGCAAGGGGCACCTGGTAGTGGAGGCCATCCTGTTGGCGCTCATCTCCTACCTTCTGTTCCAGGGAAGGCAGAAACCGCAGCGCCGGAAGGAACGACCTTTGTCAAAGGAGGTGGGCACACGGCCTGGACGAGGCTGCTGCGATTCTGGGTGTCCCTCCAGTGGTGTTCCCTGGGTTAACCCCTTTCAGTGCAGCGATGTGTGCAGAGACACAGATCAAGGCGTGTTCTCCATGCCCCCCCCTTCCCACACAGGAGGTGGACGAGCTGTGCGAGGAGTGGCAGCCGGAGCCGCTGGTGGGGAAGCTGACGGCGGCGCAGGCTGCCCGCCCGCCCCACGTGATCACCGCCGTCTCTGGCTGCAGCGTGGAGGTGGACGGCAAGCCCACCACCTCCTTTGCCAGCACCGACTTCCTCGGCTTCTCCAACCTGGAGCAGGGCAGGCAGGTGTGCGAGGAGGCCATCCACAAGTACGGCGTTGGGGCCTGTGGCCCTCGCGGCTTCTATGGCACCATGGATGTGCACCTGGAGCTGGAGGTGCGCTTCGTCAGTGGGATGCTGGGCAGAAGCTGTGGGACGTGGTGCCTTTGAGGATGGAGGGGGTAGCTGGTCCCGTCAGACTTCCTGAATCGAGGCGTGTGCCGGGAGGACAGATGTAAGTGTACAACTCTCATTCAGACCTCAGCCAGGCACTGTGCCCCTCTGCACCCATGTGCTGTCTCACCCGCATTCCCACGGACCCCCACACAGGCCGAGATCGCAAGGTTCATGGGCGCCGAGGAGGCCATCCTCTACTCCTACGACATTGCCACCATCTCCTCCATCATCCCTGCCTTTGCTAATGCCAAGGACCTCATCGTCTGCGACGAGGTGGGACCTGGGTGGCGCAGCGTCCTTGACGATGAGCATTTGGACCTGCGGTGTCCTGCCGAGCACGCTGGCTGGGGCTCAATGCTCCTCGGTGGCCTTCGCCAACCCCTCCCCTCCTTCCCCTCCCGCACCAATGCACCCCAGGCGGTAAACTACTCCATCCAGACGGGCTGCTCCCTGTCCCGAGCCAGGCTCTTGACCTTCAAGCACAATGACCTGGCCGACCTGCAGAGGGTGTTGGAGAAGGTGGCAGCCGAGGACAAACGCTCTCGGTGCGCGGAGTGCGGGGGAGGGTGGGCTGATGTGGACAAGGCTGGAACGTACCATGAGCTGGGCAATTCCAAGGGGGGAGTGGAACGCAAATGCACAATCCTGGGGCGAGGATCCGCTGAGACGCCTTGCCGCGGAGGTGGGCCACACCTTGCCAGGTTCCCGATTTCAACCCTTGTCCCCACCTGGCGCTGCTGCCACAGGAAACCCCTGAACCGCCGGTTTATCGTGGTGGAGGGGATTTACGCGAGCCTGGGCGACATGGCCCCCCTGAAGGAGCTCATGGCACTCAAGGAGGTGTGCAGCTGGCTTGGTGACTTTGGGTGATGGGCGGCGGGTGCTGTGTGGGTTGGGATGCCTAGAGGGGCAGCTGGTTCCCAGCTGCTGTGCAAGGCGGGGTACCGACCTCGGAGGTGACAGCACGGCCTCTTCGCCCCCTCTGGCCGGCACTCAGGCGCTGTGCCACACCCCCCTCCTGAGCGCTCCTTCCTCCCTTTCCCCCGTTTGAGAGCAGAAGTTCAAGTACCGCCTGATCGTGGACGAGAGCCTGTCGCTCGGTGTCCTCGGGCAGCATGGGCGCGGCGCGGCCGACCATTTTGGCATCCCCCCCACCGCCGTCGAGATCGTGGGCGCGTCGCTGGGTGAGAGGGGATGTGCGGCTTTCCTGCTGGTGCACGCCTCCATGGTGCCCGTCCTGCCGTCCAAGGCGGCAACCCTCGCCACTCCCAACCGGCCCCGCCCTAAGCCCCCACCCTGGCCCCGCAGGCACCGCCCTGGCCTGCATCGGCGGGTTCTGCTCCGGGAACCGTGAGATGGTAGACCACCAGCGCCTGTCCGGCCTGGGCTACTGCTTCTCCGCCTCCTCGCCGCCCTACACCGCCAAGGGTGCGAGCTGGGAGGGTGTGTCGCCAACCGGCCTTCCCCGCCTGTCGTGCTCCCCATCATGATGGAGTGGCCGGCCTGGGAGCAGCCTCGCATCCCGACCCCCCCCACCCACTCCTGCAGTCACCCTGGAGACGTTCAGAGCGCTGAGGGAGGAGGGGCCCCGCCTGCGCGAGCGCCTGGCCGCCAACGCCGCGGCCTTCCGGGCCCTGGCCGCCGGTGTGCCCGGGCTGCGGGTGGTGGGCGGCGAGGCGGCCGCGGCCTCGCCCGTGGTGCACCTGCAGCTGGACCCCGCCCCCGAGACGGTATGGTCCCTTGGAGATGGGGAGGGGGGTTGTCGGGGGCTGTGCCACTGGGTCGGGGGGAGTCCCGCCGTGCGCAGCTGGCAGCGAGAGTCGCACCGGGCCTGCCTTCCTCGCGCAAACCCGTACCTGGCGCACCCCATCTCTTGGAGAAGACTGCCTCCCTGTACACCTCCAACATCGCCCCCCCACCCTCTTCACCCCCTCCACAGTACGAGGAGGGCGACCTGCTGCTGGAGAGGGTGGTGGCGCACGTCCTGAAGCACCACTCCATCCTGCTGGCCACCGCCAAGTACTCCAGCGTGGAGACCCGGCGGCCCCCGCCCAGCATCAGGCGCGTGCGCCTGAGGCCGTGGAGATGATGGTTGGAGGGGTCGCCTGCCCTCTGCACGTGCGACCATTCCCACACAAACCCTGTTGCCCATCCATTCGACACCCCTCCACTCCGCGCAGGGTGCTGGTGACCGCCCTGCACGAGCCCAGGCACCTCCAGGCGGCGACCACCGCCCTGACAGAGGCGATGGCCGCACTGCGACCCCGGTGACATGTGTGGCGCATGGATACCCCTGGTGACATGTGTAGAGCACATAGTATGGTGTTACACACACGGGCATTGGTGTTCAACAATGTGGGAATCCTTCCTACGATGCGCTCTCAGCAAGCAAGCAGGGGTATCGCAGCGCCGCCGGCACAGGTGCAGCGGCAGCGATGCCAGGGCAATGCTCTCGGGTCCGGGAGGAGAGGCGCCGACACCGAGTTCTGTCGTTCGGACTTGCACGTCATTCCGAGCGCCCTCCTGGCCGCAGGGCTGGGACCCCTCCCTCTTCACCTTCTCCGACACACAGACCGCCCCGGTCAGGCCGCAGGGGGCCGCAGTTTGCTGTCCTCGCTGGCGTTGGGGGCCGGCAGCCAGGCCAGGCCGGCGCCGGCGTCGTCCTCCAGCCGAGCCGTCAGCTCCACGCCCGTCAGCCCGCCCAGCGCCTCCGCCTTGAGCGGCGCGGGGGCCAGCATGCTGGCCGGCACCGGCGGCGGCGCAGGGCCGGCGCCGCCCAGCGCCGCACCGTACAGCGCGCCGTAGTCCACCTCCGGCAGCGCGCCGCCGGCGAAGGGGTCGTGGAGGAACGCGTGGCCCAGGGCCTGGCCAGGGACGGGCACGGCGCCGCCGTGCGCGGAGGCGGGGCGCAGGTACGGCGAGTCCGCGGCCGTGGCGGCCGCGGCGGCCGCCGCCTCGGCGCCGCCCCCGCCGTTCAGGTCCAGGGGCACGATGCGGCCGGGGCCGGCCGCCAGCACGCCCGTGTGCATGCCCGCGCCGGCGTGCTGCTGCAGCAGCGAGTCGGCGCGCTGCTGCAGCAGCGACTGCTGGTACACGTTCTGGGCGCGGGCGCGCTCCAGGTTGGACACCCGCTCCTGCGGCGGTGAGATCAGGGAGTGTGGGAAGGGGGACGTCGAGGAGCGGAGAGAAGGGGGGGGTGGCCGGTGCGTCAGCGGGGTTCCCGAGCGAGATGGCAGCCTGCCTCGACGGGATCTGCGGCAGCGCAGCGGCGGCCCCCCAAGCTCGGTCTCGGGGGTCTGCTCCCGCCCAAGCCACATGACCCCTCGCGGCTGGGCCCCCCTCCCCTCGTGCCAATCCCCCTCCTCCCGCGCCCCGCCACCTCCACGCACCTCCAGGAACTTGTTCAGCTGGCGCAGCTGGTTGTTCTCCACGCGCAGCTGGGTCAGCACGCGGATGGCGTCCGCGATGACCGACACGCGGTCCGTCTTCACCCCCCGCCCCGTGGGGTCGCACAGCCTGGCCAGCTCCTCAAAGCTGTGGGGGTGGGGGCGGTCGGTGGCAGGCGGGTGGGGTTTGGGCGGGCCGACACCTCGGTTCACGAGCCGGGGCTCCAGCGCAGCGACCATGCACCGCCCCGCGCACAGGCAGCCAGCATCTGCCGTTGCCCCTGCCGCGATCCACGGCCCTCAGGCGTGCACCGCAGGCGCACCACTCGTTCAGCCGTTCCCGCCGGGCCTTCTCGCGGGTCGCCTTGGCGACGGCTGCGGTGCTCATCGGGCGACCCTTGCGCCCAATGCGGCGCTGAGAGTCGTCTGGGGGGGGGGCAGGGGGGGGGGGGCGGGGGGGGGGTGGGGCATGCCCGTGGGGCCATTTGCAACAGGGTGGGTCCCAGTGTTGAAGGACAAGCGGGTGGGCCTCCCAACAGCTGGGCCATGAGCAGCTCTCCGCCTACCCGAGTCGTCCGCCTCCTCTTCCTCCTCCTCGCCAAACCCTCCCATGGCCATCCAGTTGTAGGCGGCAGAGTCATCGTGCTTCCGCTTCTCCCGGCCACTCCCGCTGGGCCCGGCAGAGGTCGACGGGAAGGCCGGGCCGTCGTGAGACCCTAGGAGACCCGCAGCCCCGGATCCCACGAGACACTGCACATGGATGGTGCAGACGGGTGGTCCATCCTGGCAAGCCCACACGCAAACGCGTTGCTGAATCGAGAGAGGAACAGCCATGCAGACTCCCTGAGCTGGCGAGGAGGGTTGAGTCAGAGAAAAGTCCACCGCGCCGACTCCCGCATCCTACCTGCAGTGTTTTGTCGTCAAGTTCCAGCATGAGGTTTTCCCTCCCGTTGTCGCCCAGGCTCGTCGATGCCTCGTTGCCTTGCTTCTCCGCTCCCCAGTTAAACTCCATTCACAGGAGTTTTGTGTGAGTGGGAGAGCTCGCAACCACTGTCCTCACATCCATGGCTCAGGACGATGGGACGCCTTCAAAGATGCATGGGGATCATGAGGGTCAGTCCTGGAGGCCGGCTCCCCGGCTAGGACTTGGGGCGTGTGCCCTAATCCCACGGGGACAAATCTTCTACTGCGGGTGTCGCGCAGGTGACAACTTGTTGACATGAGAAACGCCAGACCGGCGGAAACCCACGCGCCATGCTGTGGTATTACTCGTGTCTGAAGCAAAAGACTAAAGTGGTCGAGTACCTGTAATCCCCCCAAGGCTTCTCCTGGGGAGGGTCGAGGTGAGCTGGAATGCCATCCAAGTGGCTCCCAAAGACTGGCTCATCTGCCGACATCTGCAACGAGAATGGCTGCATATTTGGCATAATACTGTCGTATGTCAATGGAAAGGAGTGTGCATTAGTATTCTGGCAATGCACGTGACATGCATGCCGATGGACGTTTGGACACCATCGCGTAAGGTGATCAAATCCAAACAACCGATACGCTCTCTGATGAAAAGTGGACTTGGTGCGACTCTCGAGGAGAAAGGAATACATTCTCCTTCCAGGAATAGGGTGGTGGCCTCTAATACCCCAGTCCCTGTCTGTCTCCCTTAAAGAGCATGCGAAGACCAAGCTGTCCCTTCACAATGATCAACAGATGAGCTGACATCCTTCCAAGGGAGAAATTGTTTTGCTTGCACATATTGAGACAACATTTATTGATAGAAAGGGATGTCAACATGCGTGCTGGTGAAACCGATGCCTTTCCTGTGTTGAGGTATGCGCAGGCTCGTGTCCCGTACATCCAAGAACAATCCGAGTTGGGATGGCAATTTGACCTGGATATCATTCGCTCTCGGATGTGGGGCCCTGCACTGGTCCCTCATCAATCCTGATCGCAGGTGTTTCGACCACCCACAGACGCCCCCACCCCCTCCACCCGATGCCAACGTGGATCGCGACGACGGACTCTTTTCCAGTAACACGACATAACGGGTAATCACCATCAGGCGTGCACCTTCCCTCATAATTTCAGATCAGTCATACACGTCCGATCAATCTTCCATTCGGTTCCCCAATCCCTCTGCGCGAGAATGGCCCCCGAACCTAAGCGCGTGCTCATCACTGGAGCTGCTGGTGAGAGGCAGGCTGGAGCTCGCTGAGGAGCTGCGACCGCCCCCTAATAACCCACACTGTCAATTACTCAACTCTTCCTCCCCTCCCGCCCAGGCCAAATCGGCTATGCCTTGGCCCCACTGGTGGCGCGCGGGGCCGCACTCGGCCCCGATCAGCCCGTGATCCTGCACCTGCTGGACATCGAGCCCGCGAAGCAGGCTCTGGAGGGCGTGCGTATGGAGCTGGTGGACTCCGCATACCCCCTGCTGGCAGGTAAGCCGCTGGGCGCCGGGCCCGTGGCCTGCACCACCCCGGCTGAGCGGATCCACGACACCCCATCATTCTCCCACCATACCCAGGCGTGGTTGCTACCACCGATGTGAATGAAGCCTTCAACGGCATTGACGTCGCCATCCTGGTGGGCGGGTTCCCTCGCAAGGTAGGAGTGAGAGTGTGCTGCCCTCCTCGGTCTGGATGGGTGGTGGCCCCTGGGTTTTGGAAACAAAGGAGCATGTGCTTGGCGACAGCCCAGCAGGACAGCCGCCACGCTGAGACTCCCCCCTGACGGCCAGCGTCGCCGCACCCCTTGGGTTCACCTGCCCCACGCCTCACCTCCGCCCCTCCCTCCCCCGCCAGGCCGGCATGGAGCGCAAGGACGTCATGTCCAAGAATGTGTCCATCTACAAGGCCCAGGCTGCCGCGCTGGAGAAGCATGGGAGCAAGAATGCCAAGGTGCGGGCGGGGCGAGTCCGACGTCGGCCCGGGGTGATCGTGCGCGGCACCTCGCCGTCGCCTGGAGCCCCTCGAGCGCCCCCGCCTCCACACCCGCCACAACCTGCGCCTCCACGGCCGGCAGGGGCAGGAATGCGTGGGAGCCGTCGATCCTCCCCCCTCATCCCCATCGACACAACCCGCTCCCACGCAGATCCTGGTGGTGGCCAACCCCGCTAACACCAACGCCCTGATCCTGAAGGAGAATGCGCCCTCCATCCCCGCCGAGAACATCACCGCCATGACCCGCCTCGACCACAATCGCGCCCTGGGCCAGGTGAGACCTCGCGGGGGACGGCTGGAAGGGGGGTGGACATCTCCTGGGCGGTGCCGGGGCGTGTTGGACCGCAGCCAGGCACGGTGTCGGGGCCTGGCTGGCGACCGACGGGGCGTGCTGGCGGCCCCACCCCCGCTCATGTGACCCCTTGCTCCCCGGCTCTCCCCCCAGCCCCTTCCCTCCCCCTCCTCCACCACCACCGTACCACCCCCACCGCCCACCGCAGCTGTCCGAGCGCACCGGGACGCACGTGGGCAAGGTCCGCAATGCCATCATCTGGGGCAACCACTCCTCCACCCAGTACCCGGACGTCAACCACGCCACCGTGGACGGCAAGCCGGCGCGCGAGGTGGGGCGGCTTGCGGTGCTCCTCGTCGGTGGTGGCATGAGTGGGGGGCCTCCATAGCGGGCCCCCTCCCCATGGCCCCGCCCTGGCATGCCCTTCCGCGGGAACCCCCCTCAATCACTGCCAACCCTGGCGGCCCCCCGCCCGACCCCGCAGGTGGTCAAGGACGACGCCTATCTGGACGGTGAGTTCATCACCACTGTGCAGCAGCGTGGGGCGGCCATCATCAAGGTGAGTGTGTGCGTGTGTGCGTGTTGGGGGAGGAAAGGGGGGGGGGGGAAGGCGCCGCCTGGGGCGCTGGAGGGTGCAGCAGTGTGGCGGGGTGCTGGAGGGCGGCACGCAAAGGGCAGGGCGGGGCTGGCCGCACAGGAGGCATGCATGAGTTGGGGCTGCTCTGACCCTGGTGGTACATGGCCGCGGATGCTGGCCTGGGACGAGAGGGCGGGGCAGGCCTGGTAATTCTACCTCTTCGAATTCCATGTCACAGGCCCGCGGTCTGTCCAGTGCCCTGTCCGCCGCCTCCTCCGCCTGCGATCACATCCGCGACTGGGTCCTGGGCACCCCAGGTGAGGCGGGTGGAGGGTAAACCGGGGTGCCACCACCATGCTTTCCTGTAGAACAGTGCTGGCGCCGGCCATGGGAGGTCGTGTGGGAGTGTCGCTGTGCATGTGTTTCCTTTCGCAGGGGGGGTTTAAGAAACTTTGGGGTCCCGGTGCCCTCGAGCACGTGCTGCCTCCTGCTGTGCACGCTCTGCCAGCAACCTGGGGTACGCGATCTGCACGAGGCAGCGCCATGGCCGCCCGCCACTGGCCCCAGACACTCGACAGTCGGAGACTGACGTTCCACACTCACACGCGGGCGCCCACAGAGGGCACCTTTGTGAGCATGGGTGTGCTGTCCGATGGAAGCTACGGCGCCCCCAAAGACGTCATCTTCTCCTTCCCCGTCACCACCAAGGACGGGAAGTGGAGCATCGTGCAGGTGTGGAGGGGGTCCAAAGGGGAGCGTTGGTTAACACTCTCGCGGAGAGCATTGGGCGGTGGCTGCCCCTGCACGGCGCACCCGCACTCGCACGCCGCGGCCTTGCAAGCTGCAGACCTGAATGACTCGAGGCCTGCTGCCCTGCAAGCCTACGCACCGGCCCCCTGCCTGGCCCTGCGCCCACCCCCCTCCCCCCTGGCCTGGATCACCACTGCAGGGCCTGGACATCGACGAGCGCTCCGCCCAGCTGCTGAAGACCACCGGGGACGAACTGGTGGAGGAGAAGGCGCTGGCCCAGGAGTGCCTGGCGGACCTGTGAAGCCGCCCCTGACGCTGAGGGTGGGCCTCCTGACCAATTCCTCATGTTCCGCGGGGTACCATGTGTAACGAAGCAGAGCCGGGCGCGGGGGCATGGCTAGGGATGGGTACCGGGAGGAGACTCTCACCACTGCGAGAATCGGCAGGCCGGGCGCGGGCCACCCGGTGGCACGACAGGGGGGTTGCGCATGGGTTCAGCCGGGCAGGCTTTCCCATCCCATATTGATAATGATATCTGCAGAGTTTCCCATTCAACATACACCCAGCCTCCTGCCCGCATGGTAGTTTCCCTGGAGGGCGACGCCTTCGCCCGCCTCTACCCCCGGGAGTACTATGCCAAATTCGTCTCACAGGGCATGCGCCCCGATGGACGCGTCCTCACCCAGGAGCGACCCATCAGCATCGTGCGGGACGTCGTGGCCGGCGCAGACAGCTCCGCGCTGGTGAAGCTGGGCCGTGCGACGGCCCTGGCCGGCATCAAGCTGGAGGTGGCGAGCCCCGAAGACGAGCGGCCCGGGGAGGGCAGCATCATCGTGCAGGTGGGTGCAGCTGAGGTTGGGAGGGGGAACTGGGCACCTGGTCTGCCCCGCACTGGCTGTGCCAATGCAGGAGCCCCGGCGAGTGATCCTCTCCAGGCTCGGAAGCACCCCTGCCCACCCACGCCTCGCCGCTTTTCCATCCCCTGCCCCCCCAAAACAACACCAGGTGGAGCTGCCGCCCATGTGCTCGGCCAGCAGCCGGCCCGGCCTGGTCAGCCCGCGCGCCGCGCGGCTGACGGAGGAGCTGGGCGGCCTGGCAGAGTCTGGTGCGCTGTGCGACCTCGCCCAGCTCACCCACCCCGGCGGACGCTCGGTCTGGGTGGCCTACTGCGACGTGTACGTGCTGGACGCGGACGGCAGCCTTTCCGACGTCTGCCTGCTGGCCACGCTCGCCGCCCTACAGGCCCTCCGCCTGCCAGCGCTGGAGCCGGAGGGGGCGGGCGGCGCGGCGGTGCCAGCGCCGCACGACACGCCAGAGGGGCCCGCCGCCCCTCGGGCCCTGCGCCTGGAGCCCCCGCTCACCCCCCTAACCTGCGGCATCTTTGGCGGCGCCCTGGTTGTGGACCCCACCGCCGAGGAGGAAGCCCTCATGGACGCCCTGGTCTGTCTGCGGGTGAACGGCGACGGCCAGCTTGCCGGTGAGTGCGTCGGGGTTGGCTGGGAGGCGATGCCTGGCGCGGCCTGCTGGGCGGGGCGCGTGTGACCCTGGGCATGGGAGCCCTCGCCTGAATGCATGCGGGCCCCCCTCCGCAACCCGCAGGCGTGAGCAAGCTGGGGGGTTCGGGACTTGGCAGGGAGCACCTCGCCACGGCCCACATGGCGGCCATGCGGCGACACTTGGCGCTGCAGGGCCCGTAGACGGCGGCGCGGCTGGCGTGGCCCTTCGGGCTGCGCGATCCCAGTCCCCGAGAGCCCCAGGGAAGGCTCTGAGTGCATCGAGCCCGGGGCCCATGCCCCTGTACCCTCCCAGGGCTGGCACAGGTCCGGGCATCAAGGCAATGTCCTTGGGGCCAGGCGGTGGCACAGCATAAGCAGTTCAGGAGGGATGTCCCTCTGAAGCTGCAAGATGGAGAGTCTGGGCTACCCAAACACACTCTGCATGGTTGCGATGGGGCATGCCGGCTAAGAAGGGGACACCTCAGGCCCTGCAATGCATGGGCCACCGGGATGCTGGGTCTCAATCCCACATGGCCCCCAATCCCACTGAAGGCATGGCTGCCAGAGCATCCCAACAGCCTGAACACGTGTGCGCCAGCCCTGTGACCCAAGCCAATGGGTTTGGTGGCGATCGATCCAGCTCCTTCCTGACCTGCATCCATTGTTGCGGGGACAGCCTGCCTATCTGCTGTCCACACCCTGAATGTCATGCCTGCGCAGTGTCACCCCTGGGCCAACCCCATCCTCAAACGACCTGAAAACCTTTAATACAATGTGACCTTGGAACCCAGGAGCATGGAGTGCTGATCCAAGTTGGGCCTGCTGCACGACCTTGGAATCTTCTTCACACCCTTGAAGGGCACTAGACATGCTAGCGGGGCCAACATTCATGACTAGACGTGGACAGGATGGTGCAGGTTCGGGGGTGCGAGGTGACATTGCCAGCGAATCAGGGCTCTGATCTAGGTTAAAGTGAGTCTCACCACTATACAAATGAAGCACCTCCACTCTCTGCTGAACATGCTCACAGTCGAGGCAGATCCCTGACATGCCGTGAAGATAACTCGGAGTTCCATGAGCCGATGGCGAGGCGCGCGGGTGGAAGACAAAAGGGGGTCGTTACGGCCTTAAAGTTGCGTGAAGGGACCCTCAATCGAGCCGATTTTAAGCATGATTTATCGCAAGCACGCCGTATCTTTGCGTCGAGGTGTGGTGGCAGCCGACCGCGTGCGCCGATGCGCGTTGGGAATCCTAGCTCCACTCCCGGCATATAAAATAACGTTCGACCCCCCTCCGCGCGTCGTCACATGCTCGACGAGCTAGGATGCGGGGAAATCGTCGAACGGGGGGAGGTCGATCGACCCTCTTCATTCCGTTCATGAATGGCCACAAGCACATGTACGAAATCCCAACCGACGTTTTCCGGCAAGATATCCCTGGCGGTGAGCGAGCACGTCGTGGACTCGCGAAATTTGGTGGCGCTCCAGCTCTTTCGCTACCGAAACTTTGTTTACCCAGATCGCACATGGGCAGACCTGGTTGACAACCTTAAGACCGGATGCCGGAGCAGAATCGCTACAGAATCTTGGCAAGGTGCGCTGGGCCACTCATGCACCTTGGATTTGGAAGCCGGTCCAACCTTGCCGGACTCTTGCCACGTACGAGCACATGCTGCATTCTACAAGCGGGCGATACCGCAAATCCACCTTGGAGACCTGCCTGATCTTCTCCTCAAGTCATAATACTACTTCGTCCTGTCGCGGACTCGCGTTCGACTTTTTACAGCAAGACTGCGCCGTTTTTGGCGCCTCAGGCAATCCGCCGGAATTGGATGGGCTACCCCCTGAATCATCGGAAGCCGGACACGCCATGGCCGTGGGAGGACCCTTCTAAGGCAGCAGCCGCTCCGATTGGCGTCATTTCGGTCCGATGTGAGGTTTAACGTTCCTTGCTACAGCCAGTAGGCGTGTGTGTGGTCGTCTGGACTGTGCTAGGTCAAGAACAAGAAATGACCGAATCTCCGGTGGTCGGGCATAGGATAGTACAACTTCCAGGTGCTGTCGGTGACAAGGTTGCATCCACCAGGCAGCCTGTCGATAAAGGGTAGGGGCGGACTTTCAACCGCCATAGAATAAATTCACCCATCGAGTCATCTGGATCCGGGTGCCATTGGGCTGTTGGCTTCTCTCTGTGCCCTCTGAACACCATGGGTATGGCGCGATGCACCGCCGTACTATTTCTCGCCCTCATCATGTCGACGGAAGCCGAAGGCCTGAGCAGGTGAACTTTAGCACCCTCATTCATAGAGAGGAACTGCCTCACGACTGAAGGGTTGCTCGATGATCCTGGTTGATGGTCTGCCCTTAACGGGGTGTGCCATTACCTTGCAAGCGGCGCTCCCCAGCTTGTCACGCCGAACCTAATGAGGCTACGATTCTCAAGGATCGAGCAGTCAACTTACCCCTGTCGACTCAACTCCCTCTCCGACTTCCTGTTGCAGGAAGCTGCTGCAGTTCTCTTTCGGTTCTGGCATCTCCGAGTCCAGCGCTAGGGGAGCCGGTGCCTCTGCTGGCTCTGGAGCAAGCTCACGCTCTGACACCGAGGGCTCGTCCGTGACTGGATCGGCCTCTGGATCGGTAGGTTTGCTGATGTCATGTCTGATCATAGGCTCTTACGACTGCGTCCAGCCCCATGAATTACTATCGCTCATGTTCACGACACCTTGCACATCGACAGACCTCCGGCGGGGGTGCATCCTCGGCCTCCTTCTTCGGCCAAGCCACGGACTCCGACGGTAGGCTGGCTTACTCCGACTGGCAATCCAACAGTGAGGATTCCACAGGTCCTACCAGAGCATCCGTCAATGGTGGTGCCTCTCTCGATCCCGACGGGGCAAATGTGAGTGGCTGTTACCCACTTAGAAAGATGGTACCAGTCTTTGCGAACATGACCTTATCAGATCCATATGACCAGTCCACAGAATCCCTCGACCTTCCCAACGTGTCTCCCTTCGCAGGCCTTTGGAAGCGCCACCGCATCACAGCCAGGTTCCTTCCAAACTAACTCTGGATCTGACGCTGATTCTCGAATCGCGTGCAGCATAGGCAACCCAACATCAGACAGTGAAGGAATTGATTGCCGTCAAGAAGCCCCTGCACCGAGTACAAATACGTCCAGTCCCAGTACTGGAGAGTCACCCAACCCTGGTCCTCAAGATGCACCGAGCTCCAGTCCCTTAGAATCCCCATCTCCCAGCCCCGAGGACTCGCCTTCTCCCAGCCCCGAGGACTCGCCTTCTCCCAGCCCCGAGGACTCGCCTTCTCCCAGCCCCGAGGACTCGCCTTCTCCCAGCCCCGAGGACTCTCCCTCGCCCAGCCCTGAGGACTCCCCAAGCCCCAGCCCTGAGGACTCCCTCGCCCAGCCCTCAGGACTCTCCCTCCCCGAGCCCCGAGGATTCTCCCAGCCCCAGCCCCGAAGACTCTCCTTCACCCAGCCCTGAGGACTCTCCCTCCCCCAGCCCCGAGGACTCTCCCTCACCGAGCCCTGAGGACTCTCCCTCACCCAGCCCTGAGGACTCGCCTTCACCCAGCCCTGAGGACTCGCCTTCCCCCAACCCCGAGGACTCTCCCTCACCAAGCCCTCAGGACTCTCCCTCACCCAGCCCTGAGGACTCGCCTTCACCCAGCCCTGAGGACTCGCCTTCCCCCAACCCCGAGGACTCTCCCTCACCAAGCCCTCAGGACTCTCCCTCACCCAGCCCTGAGGACTCGCCTTCACCCAGCCCTGAGGACTCGCCTTCCCCCAACCCCGAGGACTCTCCCTCACCAAGCCCTCAGGACTCTCCCTCACCCAGCCCTGAGGACTCGCCTTCACCCAGCCCTGAGGACTCGCCTTCCCCCAACCCCGAGGACTCTCCCTCACCAAGCCCTCAGGACTCTCCCTCACCCAGCCCTGAGGACTCGCCTTCACCCAGCCCTGAGGACTCGCCTTCCCCCAACCCCGAGGACTCTCCCTCACCAAGCCCTCAGGACTCTCCCTCACCCAGCCCTGAGGACTCGCCTTCACCCAGCCCTGAGGACTCGCCTTCCCCCAACCCCGAGGACTCTCCCTCACCAAGCCCTCAGGACTCTCCCTCACCCAGCCCTGAGGACTCGCCTTCACCCAGCCCTGAGGACTCGCCTTCCCCCAACCCCGAGGACTCTCCCTCACCAAGCCCTCAGGACTCTCCCTCACCCAGCCCTGAGGACTCTCCCTCCCCCAGCCCCGAGGACTCTCCCTCACCCAGCCCTGAGGACTCTCCCTCCCCCAGCCCCGAGGATTCTCCCTCCCCCAGCCCTGAGGAATCTCCCTCACCGAGCCCTGAGGACTCTCCCTCACCCAGCCCCGAGGACTCTCCCTCACCGAGCCCTGAGGACTCTCCCTCACCCAGCCCCGAGGACTCTCCCTCACCAAGCCCCGAGGACTCCCCAAGCCCCAGCCCTGAGGACTCCCCCTCACCCAGCCCTGAGGACTCCCCAAGCCCCAGCCCGGAGGACTCTCCCTCCCCCAGCCCCGAGGACTCTCCCTCACCAAGCCCTCAGGACTCTCCCTCACCCAGCCCTGAGGACTCCCCAAGCCCCAGCCCGGAGGACTCTCCCTCACCCAGCCCTCAGGATTCCCCAAGCCCCAGCCCTGAGGACTCGCCCAGCCCCAGCACCCTGCCCAGCCCCAGCGCAT